AACCCTAAACCCCAAAAACCCCGAAACCCTAAACCCTAAACACCGAAACCCTAAACCCTAAACCCCCGAAACCCTAAACCCTAAACACCTAAACACCGAAACAGTGGTCCAGGGATCTGCCGCCGAAGGATTTGGGGCCTCGGCCGCCTCTTCCTCCGCGAGCTTCGCTTCGACCTCGGAGCCTCGGAAGAGCAAAAAAAGGCGCTCGGGTTTTTTTTTGGGTTTTTGTAGCTTTGAAGCTTCGGGGGTCTTGGGGGTTTTTTAGGGTTTTGGTTTGGGTTTAGGGTTCGGGGTTTAGGATTTTGGGGGTTGTTTAGGTTTAGGGCTTAGGGTTAAGGATTTATGTAAGTTTAGGGTTAATTTAGGTTTAGGGTTCAGGGTTTAGGGTGTAGGTTTATTTAGGTTTAAGGCTCAGAAGGCTTGTTGCTTTTACCTCTAGGTTTCAGGGTTTGTAGGGTTGAGGCTTACTTGTCCAGGAACGTTAACCCTCGGGATTATCTCGGCATTATAGTACCGTGAAGGGGTTAAAGGTTACTTGCTCCACGACCTAAGCAAAAGTAGGAGAGCCTGGGATTCTATTGAATTCGGATGACTTCAGGGCTTGGGGTTTCGAGTTCGGAGGTTTCTATACGGTTCTATATAGCCTTTGCTATCTCAATGACTCAAGGTGTCAAGGAGTTGGCTCGGGAGTTTGTGGGGAAGAGGGCCTGAGCGGTGGAGTGAAGGGTTCATGGCTCGATGGTCTTTCTGCACTGAGGATTCAAGACACGATGATCATCATCATCATCACAATCACACTGATGATGAGGGCGTGATTGCAGTGGCGACACTCCCCTGCCGCCGAAGGGGCGCTCGTTCTGCGGTACCGAGGCCGAGGTTTCCCCGAGGAGCACCTCCAGAAGTCGGAGCTCAAGAAAGCGCCGGGGAGCACCGACTTAGCACCCTAGTTCGCACCCACACGCCTGCTTGGTGATTCGTATACTTACATACGGTTACATACGTGTGTTTGGGTGACAGGAATTATGCTGACCGACTTCCAAGTCTCACAGCACCGGCTTTAGACATCCCAGGGTCTTATGACGGTGTCCATCTCCACTGAGCACGGTTCGAAGTGCTTCAAGGGGTTGAGGGCTCTTAACCCCTGAAGCCACCGTGGGCCACGACTTCCAAGCTTACGGACCTCTCAAGGCCCCCCGAGCAACCCGAATCCCTCCCTGACAGCTCCGAAGATCCCCAAAGCTTGGCCACAGCGCCGACAGAGGAGCTGCTGCTAAAGCCCCAAACAACCAGCTGGAAACCCTGGCCCTGAGCTCTCAACCCGTCTAGCTTTGCCGGGGCTCCTCTCTGGGCGCCTCGCCCCATCAGCCCAACAGAAATATTTACGAGATAGACAACTCCTAGCCTAGCTTAAACAATTAAAAATATAATCACTGTATTCCGTAGGGCTCCTTGAATCAAGCCGGTGAGGCCTCGCGACAGACCTGCGGAACCTTTGCCTGCGGAGAGATCAGAGGCTCATACCAGAGAGTTTAAGGTTCTGTCTTGAAGGCGTGTAGGAACTTCGGCGTTGAAGCCCAGGAACTTACGTGGGGGGCTCTGCAACATTATGAAATTGAAGCTGTCAGTTGTGGGGAGCCATTTGGACCTTCGGCTCTTCAGCTTTGCCCTCAGGCCCTGGCTGTAAGCGAACAGAAAGTTCGATCAGCTTATGAACGGGTGCCCGGGTGCCACGCGCAACAAAACACTAGCATTGACGCTAGCCGTCACACTGAGACTGCTGGACAAGGATTTCAGATCTTGACATCCTGCGCCGAAAGATGATAAGAAGAAACAGCTGAGCCGCGAGGTCGTAGGAGGAGACGGCCAAGACCTCGGCAAATGAATACATCCCAGAAAGAGGCTCCAGGGTTTGAGAAAATGTGTGATTTTTCTTGATAACCCGTGTACTTGCACCTCTGACTTTCACTTGATTTCGTGGGTGTGCGAAATCATGTTGAAAGACCCACGACCCACGCTTTGCGGCTTTGCGCCTGGATTCGAAGTTGTTGCCTGCCACCGTACCCACACCCCACGTGCCGGCTTGCCATGGAATAGGACCCCGGACATTCCAATACTCCCTTTGATTACGGACTGTTCCTTCAACTCTTGTTCCTTCAAGTTTGCAGGGCTCTGACTCAAAGGGACTTTGGACCCTCTGGGTCTTAAATATGCAAAATGTCAGAATTTCTACTAGGGAACCCTAAGGGCGAATATGACTAGAATCCTACAGACACCATATTGGAGGCTTTGGTCTCGCGCAACTCCCAGCACCCCTGAGTGGCGGACTCTGGACCGGAATCTCTGCACCAGCCTGCAGGGGCACTCGGGACCCTGGGCTCAAAATTTACAGCTTGATGAGGCTTGTCTCCTGCAGGGCTTTACGGTTGGGGCTTTTTGTGGTACAGTGTTTTGGGTCCAGGATTTTGTTTTGAAGGGTGTCCTGAGTCCTTCTGTTGCTTTTTGGATTCTGGGGCCCGGGTTTAGCACTTGGGGCCCCTTGGGGCGTCAGAAGCGGACGGCCTGTGATGCTCGTCGATGATTCGGTGGTCTCCGTGAACCAAGTGGTCCTGGGCGAAGGGTGCGGCTTCGAGGCTCGGAGCCTTTTGGAGCTTCTTCTTCTTCTTCCCCGACACTCTGCTACAAACTTAGCACAGCCACAGTGGCTCTGCGGCTCGCCCTCAGCACACCCAACCATAAGCCTTATGCAGTAAAGCTCTCGAAGGCCGTTGGAGCCACCCCATCGCAGCCCAAAATTCACAACCCCTACTAGTAGCAAGTCGAAGCATTTCTCCCGTTGTACAAGCCGTATATCCGGGCTCTTGTGCTTCTTATCTAGCACCACAGTACTCCACAGATCCCCGCAAAAGGCCGAGCTTCGCATCTCCGGCCCCCCGAGACTCTGTGAACCCTAGACCGGGTCTTCGAGCGCAGTAAAGCCCGAAGTGCTTCTCGTTCGCATCTTTGCTAACTTTCCCCTGGCCGGTTCGTTCAGGTATGGGCTTACATGGGCTTCAGGCCGTCTTGGCAATTCTTACTTTGATCGTCCAGGGTTTAATGTCGCTCATTTAGTTTGGGGGCAGAGGGGGGTGCCCAGGCTCCAGACGAGCTCGTAGGTGACAAGTCGGGGACTTGATGGGGGCGGGTGTTCTCAGAGGTTCGGCCCCGTCGGCTTTATCTAGGCCTGCATTTCTCGTAGGAGCCTCAAGACGTTGCAAGACGAAAGAGATCGCTGAAATGAAAGATGATCTTCGGCATATTCCGAAGCACATTCAGGTCTGCGAGGCCCTGAGCTCCTAAGGCTCACGGCTTGGAGCGTGACAAAGGATTATAAGGCAAGCTCACCCAAAAGCCCTCTGTGCCTGAATGAAACGAAGAGCGGAGTCTTCTGCCGGCACACCCAGCCACTCAAACAGCTCTGTGAGGGCCTTCTTGGAAGAACGTGCTACGACTAGGATTTTGTGGTCCGGGAAGTGTGTATATAAGGCTTCGGGAGTGGTTCGGCGGTGTCTGGTTTTGAATGGCCTTGGAGTACGACGATGTGGTGTGGTCGCGCAGGCTTCCACAAGCCGTACCAAGGGAACCCGACATTACCCCTTATAAATGCAGATCCGTGACCTTGTGGGCCTTTGAGGCTTTGGGGCTTAACTGCAGAAGAGAACCCTAATCCCGAAACCCAGAAACTGCACCCCCTGCCTTTTGCAGACCTGGACGCTGAAACCAAACAAAAAAAATCCACGCTCCAGCTCTTCGCCCAGAATCAAAACCACCTGCCCCGCCGCAAACTGCCAACATGCGGGAGGGGTTGCCCCAAAACTACGGTTTTGGCCTTTACGTTGTGTTTAGGATGTAGGCCCCCGGAGAACGAAGCCCGATTTCGAACACTCCTCGCATGCCACCGTGCCAAACTGAACTCACGGACCTAAGCAGCTCTCGAAAGGAATTCCAATGACTATGGGCTGCCATAACGCTAGCAGCCCTTCGAGGGAGCTGAAGTCACAGGAAGACCCAGAACATACTATGTAACCACAAGAACAAGCTCCCCAACAACTGCAGCACTCAGATCATCAGCCGTTTTGGAGGGATGAAGATGGCGATGATGCCGACAGCATCCCGGACCCCCCAAGCGTGTCCTTCCGAGGGTCGGCGAGGATCTCCTCGTCACGCAATTCGGATCCGTCGTGTTAGGGAGACCTGAGGCCTTAACCCGACAATCCCAAACCTCAGGGCCGAGAAGGGGGTGGTTTTTCGTGAGCATTTTCTGGGGGCGTCTAAGTTTCTTTGGTGCTTTTTGTTCCGTGTCTAGGGTTGACGGTCTTGACGTTTAGAGTTTAGGGTTTAGGCCCCGAACCCGAATTCGCGAAGATCCCGGTTCGGGAAGCTTCCAATGGATCAACGGTCAAGGGGTCAATGCGGTTTGAGGGCTTCAGCTCTCGAGTTCAAAAGCGAGCTACCTTCGATTCTTGAAGGCTCGTGAGCAGAGGCAGAAGAATTCTGAATGAACGTTGCTTCGGGTTTCGGGAAGAACAACAACGAGAAGAAGAACAAGAAAATCAAGCGAAACAACGAAACAAAGCTGTAGACGAAGGTGGAAGAAGTCGGACTTGCAAAGCTCAGAGCAAGAACAGCGGCAGCCGTCTCAAAAACGACTCCAGTCATCATTCAGGTTTGGGTGCCTCAAACTGCATCACCCGGTAAGCATCTTTGCCGATGCCGTATTTCTCGAAGTAGTTGCGCCAGTCCTGCACAAGCTTGGACTGTCAGACCTTAAAAGCCCAGACCTTGAAATCCAATGAGCCTCGACTCCTGGGCCCCTAGGCCCCGAACCCTGTGGGCGACGACGACGACTTAACCTGCTGATAACAACAAGAGTAGCAGTCCTCGTGACACTGCGAGATGTTCGCATTGCGTGGTTTAAGTTGTTAGTGCATCCCAGCTTCGAATTTCGGGCTTGTTCGTTCTCATCTTCAAGGGCTGCACAAGCGTTTGGAGTTCGTGGCTGGCTTCGCATCCCAAGCATTTCTGGGAGTCCAGGACTTGAGAATCACCGCAAGAGCTCCGGGAATCCCAAACCATGAGCTTAAGCCCTAAACCCTGGCGACCCTAAACATTTTACAGCGTCGTTGGTGCCGGTGAACCCAAAGCCTTTGTGCAAAGCCTTTTTGGCGAGACGAGACAGCTCAGGGCCTAAAGACTTTTGCTCAGCCTGGTGTGGGTCGACAAAGTCTGGGCACGCCACGGACAAGATTGGTCTTAACGAGTCACTCTCAATTGCTGAGGGATCACAAACAGTCTAATCGTCGGTGTGCATGTCAAAAGAGCGTATGTGTGCAGGCTACAAATTTGAAGACCCTGAAGTTAGAGCTTCAGCAGCATGTCGAACAGTACACCTTACTGAGACTGTGAATTTCGAACACGAAGAACTATCTCAGCCCCGAAAGCCAAAGTTTCCTGTTGGGCTCTCGTTGAGTGTAGCTTCATCATGGTACAGACCTGTAGCCAGCAGCATTATACAGGAAAACACAACCTATTTCTGCACCATCCTTAAGCCCTCCAGGTCTGAAACTGCAGCAACGTCCTCCACTCTTCGTTCCTGGATTTGAAACCCACAGCCCTAAACATTCAGAGCAAGACACGATCGTGTGGCGCTTATGTGAGCTAAGGACATGGTTCAGGGCACACACACACACACGCGCGCGCGCAACGCAAACACACACACACACACAGCCCCAATCTCAACATCCCAAACCCTACTTGAAGGATTCCAGGGTCGAGCCCAAACATCAAACCACATTGCCAAGGACTTAAGATCAGGTTTCGTGCGGCGCTTGATCCAACGGCTTTCAAAAAATGCCAGCAGTCACAAACGAGAGGTCGTTGAGCCCTGAATCCGTGGACCCGAAAGCCCGAGCTCTGAGTCTGCGATGTATCAGCAAGCCCTACACTCCCAACATAACCTTCGGTTCTTCGCTCTCTCCTGACTCTTGAGATAACCAAGCCCCACAAACCTCGCAAGCTTTTCCATGCAGCGATAGAAACGACATGCACAAACCCCGAATGGCTTCAATGCTGGCTACACGCCATCCTCACACAGGTCCTTTACAAACACCCTACCGAAGTATCCAACAAGGCCCCCCCTCAGAAAACCAAATAAACACCACATAATGTTATAATTAACTAACACTCACGCACACACACACACACACTCTCATACCTTTGAACAAACAACGTTTGGCCAAGCAAGTCTGTGCTTTGGCATGGCATTGTCTTTCCTCTCCGGCCAGCCAGTTGGCGATGATGTCTTCCAAAGATAGGTCGTCCACCTGACCAGGACCAGCAGGCTCCCACACAACGCACAAACAAAATCTGTGGCGGCAGTATGATTTGCAGGGGCGGAAACGCACCAGGCTGAGGAACTACGAGGACGCAGAGAAAGATCACAAAGCTCATGCCGTGGCCTGCTAAGTACTAAGGTCTGAACTACTTCGGGTGTTGTAAGAACACCACCGCTGAAGCCGTTCTCTGTTAGTCGGACATTTCGAGCGTGTCGAGCGCCAAAAACCAAGCCAATGTACCCATTGCATTACCCCGACACACACGGGCGCAGTGGGAAGCATCCAAAAATATCCCAAAGCCGGCGTTTTCCGGGCCTAAACAAGTTACTGTAAGAACCCTCCGAAATCTGTCGCTTCCACAGAGAGCTTCGACTGAACCCTCCGAAATCTGTCGCTTCCACAGAGAGCTTCGACTGGGCCCTCGGGCCACGCGTCCTGCTCTCCGGATGGTCGAGAGGCCCAGCGCCTGCAAAAGCGCTGAAAAGCCCTCTTTGAGACCTCCCAAAGGATTTGTCCGCAACTGTCATACAAGCCCAGAGCTGGATTGCTGAAACGATCGCCAACCCACCCATTCTGGGTAACCCATCCACTCCTCAGAAATGACGGCAGTCTCCCTCCGTCCCTCCCTCCATCCATGTGTCTGCCTATCGGTCTATGGGTACAGATACGGATATAGATACAGGGTGGTTATCGACAGAGCTTGAGATTGAGATAGAGACAGATGGGCATGGTTTCTTTCTCATGCTGCGGGTTTCTCCCCTTATGCTCCCGGCCTTTTAATGGTTTCTGCCCTTCTGCGAACCGAGCTCTTCTATATGCGAACCTGGCTCATCCTTATGCGAACTTGGCTTTTCCTTATGCTCCCCGCCTTTCCCCCCCCCAAACCTGGCTTTTCCTTCTATGCCCCTGTTGCACCCTGCACCACAGTTGCACGCCCTCTCATTTCCGGAAATGCCAACGGTCTCTTTTTTTCACACACCTTGAGCCTCAGCACTGCATCTTCCGATCAGTTTTGACTTGCAAAGCTCACCACGCTGCGGATGAACATGCATCATGATATACGGTAAATATAGGGGTCCAGGATTGAACCAAAATCCAGAAAATCCATTACAAGCTTTGTGGACCCCTCAAAAACAGGTTTGATGTCGCAAAATATCGAAACTTTATGGAACCTGCAAAACCTGATTTTGGATATTCTGTCAAAGCCTAGGCCCCTGCAAGCTTTTTCGAAAGCACCTCGTGCTGTTTCAGGCCTATTTTTTGCCCCACTGCCTGTGGCCTTAAAGGCAAAATCAGAAGACAAAAAACAGGGCCGTAAACCTACTTTAAATAAAAGTTCGCCTTGCCGTGACTTGGCAAAACCTAGGTCTTCACCGAAGCGCAAGCTGTCGGTACGCCTCGTGCAGAATCCCAGAGGAACTCGCTGACATCAAGAAGTCAAAACTGGGTTCTTGTTAAGGGATTTAAAAATTCCTTTCCAGTCAAAAATCCATTAACAGGCACCCACAAAAGCAAGCTCCGTCCCTTCGCCTTGCGGACCTCCTCCTGGTTCGCGGTGGCTTTCAGGCCCAAGGTCCGAAAGCAGCCTTTCGCCGACTTCCAGGCGAGTTCTGACGGACCGCTTCCAAACTCCGTGCCTATGGCAGAGGCCGGTTGCCATGCCTCGGTTTTTAGTCGTCACTGCTGCAAGCTCTCAGGTTAGTGCCGGCGGGTTTAATACGCATCGTGGACGCCCCTTCAGAGGAGCAGACATCAGCGCAGGAAGTATACACACCAAAAAACGGAGCATTGATAGACCCAATAGCGCTACCTCTAGCCACCCATTTGAGTCCGAAGCCCTGAACTCCAAGGGTGCCCTCTCTCGCATGCACCCGACTAGCCCAGAAAATCACCACATCCTTCAACGGTCAAGCTGAAAAACCCCGCGTCCCTCGAAACTCACGAAACTTCCCATTGCACCCAAGCCGCTCTCGCCGCGGCATCAGCCTCGGCTCGAGCCGCGGCTCGAGCCGCGGCTCGAGCCGCCCAGGCCTCGCGTCTGGCTTTGTCCCTGAGACGTGGATGACAGAAGCATATCTTGGGTCATTTGCAAGCACGGCTGTGTCCGTTGTCACAGCCCTGTCAACCCTACACTCCCCAAAAACCCTACGTGTAGCGAAACCCAGCGGAATCTGTAGGCTTATGCTGGCCCTAGTCTCGGAAACTGCCCACGAAGTTCTGAAGCTCTGAAACACGTACACTCTAATGTTTAATCGCTTAACCCTGCGGTCTGATGGATCTAGCTGTCTTTGAGCTGCCAACGAACACAGGCCTCGCGCAAAGCTTCGTCGCAGCCGGCAGGCGGCGTTGGGCGTCGATAGCACCCAAGCCGCTCTCGCGAAATCTCGCGCTGCGGCATCTTGCGCCGCGGCTCGAGCCGCGGCTCGAGCTGCGGCTCGAGCTGCCCATCTCGCTCTGTCCGCGGCCCAGGCTTCTCGTCTGGCCTTCTCCCTGAGACGTGGATGACCGAAGCATATCTTGGGTCATTTGCGGGATGAGGATTTACAGGCAACACGTTTGTTTATTGCATCCGTTGTGACAGCCCTGCCAACCCGGTCAACCCTACACTCCCCCAAAAGCCCTACATGTAGCGAAGCCCAGTGGATCTTTAGGCTTATCCGGCAAATCTTTTCGGCTCCGGCGGCTTCGAAAGAACGGACGGCATCTAGCGATTCGGATTACTTTGTCTCTAGTCTCGGAAACTGCCCATGAAGTTCTGCAGCTCTGAAGCACCTACACTCTAAGTGCCCTACATTCGCTATGGCTGCCAGGAAACCACCGTGTGTTGAAGGTTCTTGGCACGAACCACGCAAATGCCACAGAGCCCTATCAAGAAGCGGCCGGGGTTCTCGGCCAGCTTCGCCTGGACCTGCTCTTTGATGGCAGATAGTTCGGATGAGATCCAAAAAAAGGACAATTGCAGATTAAGGCCTTACCGGTTCAGGAGCTGCAAGTGCTGCGCCTGAAGCATGGGGGGGGGGGGCCCGAAGACGTGCTTCGCGGGGACGGTGCTCCAAGCAGGGCTCATCGAGAGACTGCAGCGACGAAGGCCCTGTAGGTGCTTTTCCTCCATCTCAATGAGCTCCACAAACGTGTTCCTGACCTGTTCGACCACGCGTCCCAAAGTCTGGCATCTGTGTTTCGTGAGAACCTCGTCTAAACCTCGGCTACTCAAAAAAAGATGGCGCACCATGGTTTGCGTCATGTCGAAAAGTGGTACACCATGACTGGCTCGGCATGACCCACGCCCGTAAGTTTATGTAAGGTCGGACCCGAAAATACTGCAGGATATGCAACCTTCAATGTGATCCAAGGAGCTCATGGTGGAGAATGGAAAGCAGCTGAGCTTGGGCAGATGCTTGGTCAGATGGCTAACGGCTGGCGAATGTCTTGTCCGATGGATCTGGGTTCTTCATTGAGGAAAGGGCTGCGATGGCAGTAGAGTCAAACAAATGGAAATGTTCGTACATCTGGATCCCGGGCACAGTACAACGCATCCTGTAAGGATTGCAAACTAACCGTGTGGCCGGCCCTGTGGGCAAGACTCAAATTATTCAAAAAAGATTCCTAGAAATTCCTACACAGTGCTAGAAATTCAACTCCTAGAAATTGTTAGAATTCCTAGAAACTCCTAAATTCCAAAGAAATTCTTAGAAATTCCTAGAGACTCCTAGAAATTCTCTCCTAGAAACTCCTAGAAATTCCTAGAAACTCCTAAAGATTCCTTCCACTCCTACAACATCCTAGAAATCCCTAGAAATTCCTAGAGATTCCTAGAAACTCTTAGAAACTCCTAGAAACCCCTAGAAATTTCTAGAAATTTCTAGAAATAGAAATTCCTAGAAATTCCTAAAAACTCCTAGAACTTCCTTCCTCTCCTACAACATCCTAGAAATCCCTAGAAATTCCTAGAAACTCCTAGAAACTCGTAGAAATTCCTAGAAACTCCTGGAAATTCCTAGAAATTCCTAGAAACTCCTAGAGGCAGTTCGGGGAGGGCTTGCAGACGTGCTCGTTCAGACTGTGCACAATGAAAATGCACACAGACAGCAGGTTGAGGCAGACAGGATGCAAACCACTACATAGACACTACGAGCTGCTATGGTGTCTATTGAACAAGTTTGATTAGCTACTGCCCACAAAAGACCACCACAACAAACACTATGCCACCAATCGTCACAGCAACGCCCAAATAAATGCCAGTTTGAGGATCTGGCAATTGCCCGTCACTCTGCTATTTGCCTAAACCGCTAGAGCTGCCGTAGGAGAGCGCATTGCAAAGCCCTAAACCCACAAAACCCTAAATACAACCCCAAAAAAAACATGAACCCTGAAAACCCTAGAACCAACCCCCCATCGCAACGCCCCGCCAGCGGATGCCGCTGCAGGAAGAGGAAGCGCGCCGGGCCTTATGCCAGAAAAGCATGGAATATCCGCATCAGAGAGCCTGAGGCCGGAAAACCCCGCAGACAAGTTAAGGTCAGACTGTTAGACATCCAACTCAGGCTTCTGGGAAATAGGAACTGGATGCACTGCGAAGCTAAGCAGATGTCCGAGGAAAGTTCTGCTGCAATGCCTGTATCGTTAGGACTTGATGTTTAACATGTGCTCATGAAGTTTGACTTGTTGTCACACGCCGAATTTCTGCTTCACGCAGGGGGCAGGACATTCTTAGCAGCGCCTGCGCAACGAAGAGACACAACGGCATGTTGGGCTGGGGTACGTGCACGCCAACAGGTTTATGGCGCAGAGTATACCAGTTACGATTGCTCTTCTTTGGGCGAATTTCCGTGGCAGATGATTCAAGGCCCAAGCAAGGCCGGTTGATAAACCCTCTGTCTTTAAGGGCCTTGACATCAGCATCCCTATTGCAACCTGTTCAGGGAGGTAAGCGGTCTACCTTCGAATAACTCTAACTGAGTTCCTCAAAAGAAACACTGAAGCCCCAAGAGCATCCTTTTCAACCCCAACAGACTCTTAAACCCGAAAACCCTTCAGCCCGACAATGAACCTACAACAAAGAACCCCAAAGCCCCCCCCCCCTCCGAGCGCACAAAGACAAAGACAACACCAAAAAAAAAATAACACTCCCTAAACCACTAAACCCTAAAACCCCTAAACCCCTAAACCTCAAAACCCCTAAGCCCCTAGACCAGTGACCCCTAAACCCCTAAACCCTAAACCCCTAACCCCTGAACCCTGACCATAAGCAAAGGCTGGGAAGCCCGGCTCGACGTTCGATCCAGGCCCCAGAGGCTGTGGAGGAAGGGGGAGGCCACCTCATGAAGACCCGGGGTTTTAGGGTTTAGGGGTTTAGGGTTTAGGGTTTAGGGTTTAGGGGTTTAGGGTTTAGGGTTTAGGGGTTTAGGGTTTAGGGCGTGCGCTCGTGCTCGCGAGGAGCTTTTAGGACTTTTGGTGGTTGGAGCGCGCTTGTGAAAATTTGCTGAGCAAGGGCTTTCTACGGGGCTGCAACGGTTGTTGGGGTCTGTGGGTTCCTTGGAGCTTTCAGTTTGGGGACTGAGGCCTTTTTGGCTCGGAGTTTGGGGTTTGAGGCTTTTGAGGGCTTCCGGAGCCTGGGCCTGCTTCGGCAAAAAAAGGAGTCGAATTGGGTCAGCGGTAGGTCGGCAGCTTCCGGGTCGCTTGGGCATGTGCATAGGATTCCCTCCAGGCCGGGCGACAGCTCAGGTTTTCTGCGTAGGCCAACTTGGGCCTGCCGTTCTGGGCGCTGATTGTATCAGCCCTTCCCATGTTTCGGGTGATCGGGGCCAAGGGAACCAGTCGCCATGCTCCTGCGTTTAGCAAGTGCTCCGCTCAAACTCTGTGGTTTCGGACAAGGGCGTTGGGGGTTGAAAAGGGTTCAGTTGGACCTTGTGTAGGCACTCGTCGTTGTCGTAGTAGAAGCACATCGCCTACCCTAAATCACAGGCCGAGGACGATCTACTGCGAGTGTCCACCGTCTCGGGCTCCTGCGAGATTGGAATGCGACTTCTCCAAGAGAACCTTCGGCTTGCGGACCAGAGTGTGCTGCCGAGGTTCTTTACGGGCTCGGGGAATGCACGATTTAGCGCCCTAGCTCTTCGGGTGTTACAATTCTCCCGCGGTGCATACAGTGGCTCCGGCTAGACAGTTGATGCTCAATCGAGACGAAGTCTTGTGGGAATTCGTCCAGATGTTTTTTTGCAAACGGGGCGAAGTCTGGCAGCACGTTGTTGAACGGCTCTGCTTCAGAGGATGGAAGACTGACCCACAGCCCATGGGTACAGCTTGAACAGTTAGAACAGTTCTGGGGTTGCGTGCCGGGTATGTGCATCTCATGCTGCATCGAAAAGCTCGTCTCCGACCAATTGCCTTTGGATTGCCCGGGTTCCGTTTATCAGCAGGTCCATCAGAGTGAAGAAGCCTGAAACCCTAAGCTCAACAACCAGCCTTCTTGCCCAGATCCCAAAACAGCGCCCACTCGCTGAAGAGGTGAACCTGGCATTTGGTGCAGTCATCAGAGGGATGCGACGTGAGTCTACCTTCCGACGATGCCACCGACGAGAAACCAGAGTCCAACAAACGCAGAAAAGCACTGCCCGACACCCCAATGAAGAAGGTTTTGGAGCGCATGGTCTGAGCTCGGGAGCTGATGGAGCGTGTTGGGAAAGTAGAGTGTCCGGGTGGAAACAGACGACTCGTCATTGTCGCTTCAATGTCAACCTGAGAGTTTCGGAAACAAAGAAAGATGGACCGGACCGAACCCCCCCCAACATATATGATATATATATATATCATATATTTATATATATATATATGAAGCGAAGTTGGATCCTGAAGACCTTCCGCTTTAAGGTTCTAGGGCGTTTTCGGGCTTTAGCCTGAGAGAGGACTTCGGGGACTGCAAGAGTCCCCCACGGCCGCTGAGCCTCGCTTCGCCCTTAGACTGAACCCCGAGCCCAAGCCTACACCCGGAAAGCCTCAAAGCTCCAGTCTAAACCCTCAACCTCTTCCTGAGTTCCTGAAGAGGCTGGAACCACAGTCCACAAACCCCAAGCCCGGCACCCTACCAAACGGCCGGCGCGAATCACGGCACCCAACGCATTCCCATCCCTCTCGCAAGCCCCGAGACCGCAGGTCACGAGGGCAAGCGCAGATCCAAAAGCATCCACATCCACAGCACGAAATCGAAACTCGGGACCCTAAAGCCCGCCTGCGCTCTCGGCTCCACCAGAGATGAGCGCTCGTTCACTCGATGATCCGGGTGCAAAGCAAAGCGGCCTATACCGTCCCGCCTTCGGAGGCTGCTTTGCATCGCTTCCAATCAGAAACTCTTTTTCAGGCGGCTACACCCTGCACTAGATACAACACTGTACTAGGACGACGACAACGACGACCTCGACGAGAACCAAATTGCACTCTTCGCACCAAGAATTGCAAACGGCAGTTTAGCCACGATAATGGAGATGCAGACAGTACATGTCATCACAATTGCGATAGTGCCGAGGAGGAATAGCATCACAGCTTGCCGGCATCCACGTTGTCTTGACATGTGCGCCATCAGCGTGATCATCCTCGCCATCATCATCATCATCATCGTCATCATCCTCATCATCATCATCGTCGTGATCAACACTATCATACGTTATCATCATCGTCACAATCATCGTCGCCACCGTCAACATCGTCATCATCGTATGCACACTCTCCAGGTCGGAAGAATCGTGATGGTCATCATAATGATCACGAGTAATAAAAGCAAAAAACACGGCAGACAGGGTGACAACAGCGAGATCAAGACTCGCAACGGCAGCGGAACTGCGATCACGAACATGATTCTGGTAATCATAACCGCAACTTCGATGAGAGCACGATGAGCAGAAATAGTGAATACACAAGATGCTGGCCGCAATGCAAACATGAGACCGAAGGAGCTTTCACTGTGACGAAGTTGTAATGCCGGTGACAGACCATTGCAGGCTTCTCCAGGCCCTAAACCCTAATATCCTTGAATCCCAAGTCGAAAAAAACGCCAAGAAGAAACAGCTCCGGGTCTCCCTGCAGCGTCATCCAGTTGGACTTCTCCTAAGTGTTTCGTATGGGGGGCAGTGGAATGCGGTTCTAGCGAGGGTTAAACCCGAGGCTGTTTAGGGCTGTGGCGGTGAGTGAACCTGCCGAAGGGCTTTCGGGGTTGCTAACGACAGCTGTGTTGGCACAAGGGCCTGTGTCTGCTACTGGGAGACAGGGAGTCTTGTTCGAAAAAGGTCTGGACTACAGTAGTCGTTCGGGGTCTCCAAAAGCTGCCGCGCCGTTGTGACGTTGCCTTTCGCGGTCACCCCTGAGAGGCTTCACGCTGACACGACCCAACACTGCAACTAACGGGGTGAGACTCATCCAGTTTGGCGCCACCTTGCCATCGTCATACTGGCAGGCTAATCAGGAAGATGCAAAAAAAAAGCGCTTCAGGCTGTGCACAGTGCCTGCATCTCGAATGGCGGCAGTCTTTCTCCGGAAGCTCCAGGAAAAGCCAGCAACGAACCCAGCGCGGGAAACTACAAGACTGTGCCGTCGGGACACCACCATAGACTGCGGAAAGATCTTCTTGGCGTACTTGCTGATCCACTTCCTGCGGTTCGCCACGCACCAGGGCTCGGCTGGCAATGGGACAGAGATGAAAGGGTAGAGTAGAGTACACAGAAACAGCTGGTTCCGTACAGCCGCCTCCGACTTGTAAGAGGGAAGTGGAATGCTTTGTCACACAAATTCTGGTCAGCTCACAGGCTGAGGAGGTAGACGGCTTACAAGTCGACACCCCTGTCTGTCAACAACACACAGCTACATCACAAGCATGAAGGACTACAACGATGCGGCAGTCCGAGAAGCCACAGAAACAGATACAATCTAGCAGTAGAATTATGTCGGGGTAACACATAACAGTAGCGACAACACGAACATGGCATCACTGCAAGACAAGGATGATGCACCAACGCACAGATGCACCAGTACATGGCGCCGACAAGCAACAGCAGCAGCGACAACAAGAAAAGCAATACAAATGGCATTATTATTCAAAGAGGAAGCCCTCATCCCCAAGCCCTAAATCCCGCGTGAGGCCGGTCCGGAAAAAGAACTGCTTGTGATCTAATCCGAACTTCGGATAGACACTCTGAAGGAAGATGCCTGGCGACAACGGGGCAGTGGAGGGGCCGGAGGTCAGAAATCTGGGGGTTGAAACACGGTTGTCGGGAAGACGCGCGTCTAAGCACTACGAGCAGATCTTGAAGCTTCTGGGCTCAGGGCCCGATGCTACTTTCATCACCGCGAGGAGGATTAGCGGAATTCGGATGGTTACAACTGCCATGATCAGAATTCACCTGGGCCGCGGCCCTGGCCAAATCCCGTGTCAGAGGCTATAAGGACTGGCCTATACGGCTCGGTAGAAGGGGCTCATGGCCTGACTTCTTAAGTTCCCCTCCTCCAAGCACGGGCGTCGGGACAAGGGGTTGCGGGGGGAAGATGAGGCTTCAGAGCTTCCGGCCAATTGAGGCCAGAGCCTAGCGGCCAGAGCAATCTGTCTCGTACGTCCGCTCACGGCGATAAGCTTGCGCAGGGCTGCGGCTAAAGGCAAGGGCTGTAGCTTGACCAAGGCATCCTTCGTGGTTTTTGTCCTAGGGTTTTGGGTTTTGGGTTTAGGCATCCTTTGTGGTTTTGTCATATGGGGTTGATGCCGGCTGCTCGCGCATTGCGTAAGGGGCTCCGGGATTGAAGCTTCAGATTTAGGCCGGCTGCTGGGATAAGGATGTATAGGGTTTGGGACCCGGCTCATGGCCTAGGTTTTGTGGAATTCGGGCTGGGTTTGGAGTCTGAAGCTTTGGACTAGGTTGGTGGCTGAAGGTTCGGGTGAAGAAGGTGGGAGGCAGGGACACGAGATCCAAACTCGCACAGACGCAGTGCCAATTGCGGCAGCCGGGCCATCATTGGAGATGTCGCTCACCCAATGCGCCTGCAGGGGGTGTTCTAACTCGTGTTGATGCGAGGCTCACCACAAGGCTCTGCCTGGACAGGCAGGCTAAGGTGACACGACATGGCTACAGAGACACTCATGGACGAACAGGTAGGCCGTCTGCCTGCAGGGCTTTGGGCTTTGGGCTCGAGGTTTCGACATCCTCGCCGCAAACCCGTACGGGGCACAAACTTAAACATCTCGTCTCAGCTTCGTCTCGCAGTACCGGGGTTGATTGAACAGGAAGTTGCAAGCCTGCCCACCAAATACGTTAGATGTGAAGAAGGCTAAGACGGCCACGAGCTTAACGTGCACACAAGGATTCGGGATTGCGACCGTGAAGTTGCAGCCGCCGTAGCTCATAAGTCTAGATCTTAGCCCTGGCCCCTTTACAGTTTAGGATTTATGGCGTGAAAGATTTCAAAAATCCTTCAGCCCACCACATGGCACCTTTAGCCCCTTTGCGAAAATTCTTCAGCCCACCACGTGGTACCTGTAGTCCCACCCTTCGGACCCTGCAGGATTTCCAAGAAAATATCTGCCCAAACTGTGGCAACTTTAGTCCCACCCGGTGCCTGAAGGATTTCCGGAAATCCTTCAGGTCCCAGCGGGTGGGACTAAAGGCTGGGCTGAAGGATTTTTGGAAGAACTCCTTTAGGGCCCATTCAGGCCCACGACAGGCGCCCTGAATGCTCAAAGATGCTGTTGATGATTTAAATCCTGCATTACCTTAAGGACTCTAAACTATGGGAATTATGGTTCTATATCATCAACCGTAAGGCAGCCTCATCTCGACTTGCAGCTAGCCATGCCTGTACAAAAAGATACGGCAATGGTAATCGGTAACAGCATTTGTAGCAAATCATACGATAGTACAAAACAGCCATGACCATAATGACAATCATTTCCGTGGTAAAACTGCCAGTGTGGTCAAGAATAGCCGGAGAAGTGCTGAAGCAATGATAGGAACAAAAACAGTGTCAGTAGTAATTACAAGCACAAGAGTCTTTGTAGTATGGCATTGACAAAGATCCGCAGTATAACATGAAGCTACAAGCGCTGAACGTAGTACTACAGCGTACCCAAGTTTAAGCCTCTTCCTCTCATCGGAGTCAACGGCAGTCTTAGCGAAGCATCCTTCCAAGGGCCTCGAACAACCACTAATCAACTTTAAGAAGCTTAGAAACTGCTTAAAAGCCCTGGACTTCTGTATAGATATAGAGAGAGAGAGAGAGATAGATAGATAGATAGATAGATAGATAGATAGATAGACAGATATATATAATCACATCGACCTTTTGCAGGAACCTTGGAAGCACCCCTTTAAATGAATGAGAAGTACCCCCCTGTTTCAGGAGAATTCACTGCCGAAGAGCTGTTACAGGAGGGTGTAAGGCCTTACCAATCAGAATAGCCCTGCGCAAAGCCCTTTTAAACCCTTTCATATAGGTACTTTTCCAAGGAAAATTCCAAAATCAGGAACCCGCTTTTTATCCCCGAACCCTACACCCTAAACCCCACACCCCAAACCCTAAACCTCTAAACCTTGAACCCTCCGGGTTCCTCCGGGCCCCCCTTTTTTGCCCCCGGCCTTGCGCCGGTCGGAGCCCTCTTGATGCCGCATCCCGGCCTCGGGCTCTGACGATGATCGGGGTGGTGGGGACATCGGGGGGAAAAGGAGTTTGGGGTTTAGGGGTTTGGGGGTTTTAGGGGGTTTAGGGTCTAGGGTTCAGGATTTTGGGTTCAAGGGCCTTCGGTTTTACAGGGACTTGTGGGGTTTTAGGGGGCTCTTCGGCTAGAGGTCGGGCAGCTCGGGCAGCATAGCATGCATGGGTAACTCGGGGTTGAAAAAGTGCGGGTCCAGAGTTTGCTGACGGCACTCAAATCCCTAGCCTGAAAACTGAACCGCACACTCTCTCAATCTCAAACCCAGAAAGCTGCAGCACCCTAGCTCTTCCGGACCCAAACCCTGAACCCCTCATATATCCCGACACTTAAACCCGAAACACAAGTCCTGGAAGCCCAAGCCCTGCACCGCGGACCATAAGCCGATAGCCCCCATTCGCTTGACTCTGCCTCTGCCCGAGACCTATACATCCCTTGCCATCCCTTGGTGGAATCCTAGTCCTAGAACCTGCCCCAGAAAAAAGGCTAGCGAGCACGTGCATACCCTAAACACTACACGAGCAAAACACCCAACTGCCCAAGTCCCTCAAGCCTAAGAACCCAAGCCTGGAGTCCTGAAATCCTACAAAACCTCCTGCAGAACCTAACCGTAATCACCATTTTACTTGAAAGCCCTACTCTCAAAAAAAAAGCGAAAACCCTAACACCAAAAAGCCCCCGAAAGTCCCAAAACCAGTTGAACAGCTGGGGCGGCGGCGACGTCGCTACTTTGACTCACGGCTTCGGCCAGCAAAGTGAGACCGGTGAAGTGCCTTTCAATGGCTTCTATCAGGGCTTCACAAGCCATATACAAGGCCTCCATAACAGTTCCTAGACGGGCCGCACAAGGGATGGAACAAGAGTTCTGGGAGGGGTTCTACCTTTTGAGGGCTTCTGCACTTGGAAAAGTTCTACAAGTGCCTCATCGGTTGGACGGTGTTGCAGGGTAGTGTTGAAAGCCCTTGAGCAAGAAGGGGTTCCGACGTGATGCGCCGATCTTTCGTGCACCCAGAGCTCTGTTCATACACAATAGAATCATCAGGGGCTTAGGTTTTAGGGTTTAGCCCCCTAAGCCCTACAGCTCCGAACCCAAAAAGCTTGGGGAAGCCGTCAGCCTTCAGCCTGCCTTTGCACCCTATAAGCTTTGAATCTTATGGACCCCTCCCAAACGGCCCCAACCTCTGAGCCCAGAAACTCATGTGAGCTCTGTTCCGGCCACATCCTCGATTTGGGCTACGGCGCTTTTCAGCGCGGCAAGGGGCGGCTCTAGGTGCTTTAGCGTCTTCCACTGTGTAGTTTGTTTCTTGGCCGAGCTCCCCGCATGCCACCAAGATGTAGAATCGTGTGATTTTGCAGGTGCGCGAAAACCTGGCGTCGCTCTTGGAGGCTTCCGTGGGCTTTGTGTGCAACAGCACCGCCATTAATTCCAAATACGAGTGAGGGATGCAGAAAATGTGAGGCTTCAACTCGTCTATGGAAGGAAGCAACAAGATTGGGAGTTGAGTCCTTTACAGCTTAAGCTGCGTGAACCCTCGGGGGTTTTTGTTGAAGTGGAGGGTTTAGTGCCAAGAAAGCACGGGGCTACAACCCTGAAGCCCTATAAACCCTAACAAGCCCTCGTAGCGTTATAGCGCTCCACCTCATCGCGCGACATGTCCTTTTTGCTGGCCGGGGCTTTGTGGAACTCGATGTGCGGGTTCCACCTTCATTTGGGAGGTTCTGATAAAAAATCACAAAATCTTAGTGATGCTTCCTGCTCGTCACGGGATATCCGGCGCGTTCGCGTTTAACTGGGGCTTGGGGAAGAGAGGTAAACTCGTGGGCCAGGCGGAGCTGGAGGCTTCGTTAGGACTCGGATTACGCGCAAGGGCTGAAGGTTCCAGTTCAACGATCTAAACCAGCTAAAAGTGCTAGACGAGCTAAGCTAATCTAATCTAACCAACACCTAATTAACCAACAAACGAACGAACTAACGAACTAACGAACGAACAAACGAACTGAACGAACGAACTGAACGAACTCTGTGGGGCAAGTGAACATACATTGCAGGCAACGGGGCGCAGCTACTATGGGGTCCATAACAACTAGAAATAAGGTCTTGGGGTATGTTACAGTATACTAAGACCTTTGTATTACCCCTTCAAAGCCGAAACAGGGTCTCGAAGACCGAAAACACGGAACCTGAAGGCTGGAGCCTTGAGTTCTCAGGCCAGGACCACATCAAGCCGCCCGTCACCGCGATGGCAATGAAGATGACGAGGCCCAAGACGTAGGGAGCCATCTGCTGGGATCTCTATAAGGGGCTCCCCACAAAAAGTTAGGTATGACCATGCCCCACCTTTTTAACACACCGCTAACGCTTCATTCGTTTTTCCCTAGGGGGGATACACGTTTTCAACATTTCAATAAATTTTGTTCATTTTTGACATCCTCCCCTCACACATTTCTCACTAAAATTTCAATAAAAATATGAATTTTATGATAAAAAAATATTTAAAAAAATCATCATAAAATTTTCCAAAATTTTCATAAAAATAATATTTCAAATTTTTCATCATAACAATCTTCATAAAAATTTTAATGAAAAATAATTCATTTTATACATTTTCTTAAAAATGATATTTCAATTTTTTCATCATAAAAATTTTAATAAAAATCTTGATAAAAAAAATTAAACATATTTGTCGCCTTCTTTTACAACCTTATAATATTCCATTGTTTCCGGCTTAGGTTGTAAAATTGCTCCTTCGTTTAATTTCTTGATACAAGCGTTTCTTTTGTTTGTGTATGATGCTTCATTATTTGTTTTACTTGTTCTGGATCTAGGTTTTTCACTGATAGCCTCAATTTTTTCTAATACCAAATCCATTTTATGATACACCTCTGAAATCATGTCATAAACTTTTTGATTAAATTATTGCTCTTCCTCCTCCTTTGGTTTTTCTACCAGCGTCTCTTTTGCGACATTGTTTTTACTGACCGGCATATATACAATATAATATGTTTTTTAAAACTAAATCTTTTTAAAACTTTTCCTTGTTGCTCATGCTGCAATTACATGTTTTACTATATGCTATACAGTTGCTTATCGTGTGTGTCTGGTCGTTAATTTTCTTTGTGCCGTTAGGTTCGTTCTTATATTTCCGTTTATTGACTTTACATAAAAATCTGCATTACATAATTCACAACTCCCGTTCAACCTATCTAATAACCAATCTGCCGAAATATAGTTGTTATCGTCGATTTTTCTTGCTTTTCTGTCTTGCTCCTTGTATCCTTCCACCTTTCTTTTCAAATAATTGTAAATACAGTTTTGATTAAAGTCGTCACCGTCATCATCGTATTTATAAAACCTCACATTATTTAAATCAGTTGCTCTTGTAATTGCTGTCCATATCCAATTCTTATTTACTAAGCAATGGTTATAATCAAACATTGTTATACCTCCCTCAATGCTAGAACCTTGGACGCTGTGGCAGGTATAACAATAATTGAATATAAAATGTTTCCTCAACATCTCTAAGGGTAAATGTTGTAATATTACATCTTCTACATCTCTTAAAACAACAAACCCACTGTCAAAATCTGTTTGAACAATTTTGTCTTTAACATTCACTTGAAATCTATAAGTTTTTGATTTTAAATATTCTCTACATATCATTGTTTCACCGACTTCATATTCACCCTTTCTATTTTGCTTTTTTCTTATTTGATTTGCTACTTCCTTGCAGGTGTCATTCAAATATGCTACATTATTATCGTTTAGGTTCATGTCGGAAGTGTATTTAAAATATTTTTCTATCAACTCTCGGACCTTAATATTATTTTCAAAAATGTTTTTATAGATATTTTCTAATTTTTGCCTACCATGTTCAGTTCTTAACCTCTTACAAACTTTCAAACAGATGTTTTTTTTCTTTATCCACACAATTATCAGCGTATTCTTCGTGCTCATGTAAACTTGTTAATTCCGATACTGGTTTTAATTGCTTACCATCTCCGGTTGCTACTATTATTCTATCTTTGTTGTTTTCAACAAACTCTCTGATTCTATTTAAAACCCTCAGACCATTAAAATAAATCTCGTCAAACACTATAACATCATAATCTGAATAATCAATTTTTCCTAACTTCTCCTCACCAACTACTATTGAAAAAAGCTTATTAACTGTTACCGCTTCTTTTCCGTATTTTTGGACTAGCTTATTTGTAGGACACACAAATAAAACCTTCATGCCCATATGTGCCATTTTTTCACAAATACAACTTTTTCCTGACACTGCGTATTTTGCCCTTATCATAACATGTTTCACGCTAATGATTTTTTCTATGATATTCTTTGCGTCATATTCGTCATTTATTTTTATCGCTGTATTCTTGTAGGTACGGATTTTATCCAGTTCGTTCTTTTTCCTTTGATATGCTTCACTCGGTAATTTTATTTCTTCGTCTTCTTTATTTGTTCTCCATTCTCCGATACCAGTTTTCATTTCTAATATCACCTTTGCTTTTTCAACATCTTCTGATTTAATAACAAATGCATCTGTTTTTACACTAACCGCCTTTATAGAATTTTTCCTCAGTTTGATATAATCCTGGCACATGTTAAAATTATGATCTTGAAGCAATAGCTCTTTTATGTAAATAAAACCGTTGTTTAATGTCGCTTTGTCTGAAACGTTAACTAAACAATATTTCATACCTTCTTCTTCTGTTGTCTGTATTTGCATAGAAAAATCATCGTCTTCTATATTACGTCCATAAGTTTTAAGTCCCTACATTCCATTTCAGATGTTTTGTGAATTTTACCTCCGCGCCTTAATTGAAAATCTGATGCTTCCCTAGTTTTCTTCAAAACCATGCTTTTTTGGTCAGTGTTTCCTGTTTTTCTAAAAGTCCGATATTAACATTTACGATAAGCTTTTAAAAAGTTTATCCAGTTCTTCTTCGTCGCTAATATTTTGTTCCATAATTCTTTTTAATAATCGTTATAATTTACCTCGTGAATAAATGAAGCCACCGCCGTGGCACGACACAAAACCAAAACAGGCGAACCACGAAAATGACAACAATACCTTGCATAGCGAACCTCAAATCAAAACAAACCCAAAAAATCATAAAAAATCAACTGACGCACTGGGCCCTGGGCCGTCGTCTTCTGCCGTCGGGTAGATGCCTCTCATAGCCAACTCCTCGTTGACCTGGCGCAGCAGCGCATCCGGCTCCTTCGCCATGGCGGCGACTTTCAAAGCCCGCGGAATCATTGCGAGGCGTCAGAGGAAAGGCTCAAAGCTTCAAGTTTAGGGCTTTGGGATTAATTTAGGGTTCAGGGCAGTCGGGGCTCACCACTCTGCTGTTTTCTGGAGATCCAAGAATCTAAGGATGATGGTTTAGGGATTGCGGGGATTGGGCTGCGGGCCTACAGGTAAGGGATTCAGGATTTCACATGCGGTTGCGTAGGGATGGAGAGTGTCACATGTTTGCAGGGTTGCAGGAGGCTTATGAATGAATTCATCTATCTGATTTTGGAGGCGAGTGATTCATGAATTAGGGTCTGGAAAATGGTACCCTTCTCTAGGCAGGACGTGAGCACTGAACTGCAGACTATCCTCGTGGCCTACCTAGGTTACCTAAGTCTTCATGTGCTGTTCTTGCTATTCTTGCTGTTGTGAGTGTCGCTGCTGTTGCTGCTGATGCTGCACTCTCTGCGAGCCATGGCGTCGTGGCGAGATGTGAGAGCTCGAGCTCGGCGCGCGAGGGCTTCGGGAGCTGAGGAAGTGGGATTACAGCATCGGGCTTGAACCCTACCTGAAACAGAAATACCAACACCCGAACCAGAGAAGGAAGAACAAAAACGAGTAAAAAATAAAGATGTTATTAAAGATAATGTTGAATGTAAGGACTGTAAAAAAACGATGAATATAAAAACGCTAAGATACAGCCATCCTAATGTCTGTGAAAAGAAACCAAGTAATATTATTGATAAGCCAGTAAAAAAAATACGCTCCTAGAACTAAAACAAAAATAAAGGTTGAACCCCTAGCACCAGAAATTCAAAAAAACTAATTTAGTGGAACAGCAACAATACCAAGAAATAGCGCCTCCACTTTCAAATGCTACATCACCCAAGCCACAACAACAACCACAACAAGAACAGATTATACAACCTTCAAACCTTATGCAAATTTAACACAACAGCAATTAATACAATTACAAATGAAATCAATGAATACCGAAATTATGAGACGAAAACAAGAAAAATCAAATAATATGTGTAAAGCTATGTTTCAACCAAGAAGTAAAAAATCTAAACAATAATATATATATATATGGTTCTATATAATGGGTATACATTCCTGAAAAATAAAAAAATGCATAAAAAGAAAGCGTTAGACAATCCTGTTGTGAATACACCAGAAGATCTGATATATCGGCAACAAAATATTGATTATTTAACGAACCTAAAAAAGCAACTGGAAGCGAGAGAAGCTAAGGTGCAAAATATGGCATTCAAAAGAAGATTATTAGAAGGTCAGATGAAAGCAAACTATGAAAGCGAAATAGCAAGATTGAAAGGGGAAATACATAATCCAAGAATATCTGATACTTCTTTGGCACACCTCAAACAACGACAGAAATATTTAATCGAATTAA